ACTGATCAAGGAGAAAAGCAACCTAGAAGGAGAATATCGTGAGAACGATCAACCAGTGGAACAAATTGCTTTTGGATGTTGTGGGTGCCCCATCACTGAGAGCTTTTAAAAAGATTCTGGATAGTAATTTGTTAGTAATAGTATAAGTTTCCTGTGTAAGCAGGGGGTTGGATTAGAAGACCTCTAAGGTCCCTTCCAACTCTTTTACTGTTACTGTGTTGTGGCCCATCAGCGGCCTGTGCGGATTGTAGCTGATTCCGACAGCGAGGAGGCTGGTGTGGTGCTGCGCCAGCAGCCTGTGCAGCTGGCGCTCGAGTCGGACAATGAGGAGGCTGGAGAAGATGTGGTGCCAGAGGCAGGGATTCAGCCAGGGCCTTCAGAACCTCCAGAAGCTCCTTCAAGTGAAGAGGATGAAGAGGAGCCTCTTCTCGATGCACGGGTGCGCAGAGCTGCCAAAAGGCAGGAGTGGCTTTTCAGGAGGAGGTCTCCTCGAGAGTAAAGCTTGGGGCTAATTGGCCACTCCCTTAGCCTATTTAAGGAGGAACGCCGACTGAAGCAATTTGTAGGGAACAACTTTAGTTCATTCTCCTTCGCATCTGGATCTCTGCAAATTGCTTCTGGGCTTTCTGCCAACCTTAGTAAGAGTGTGATTACTTTATCTTTGTTTTCTTGTAGGCTGTTAAGGAAGTTTATTAACAGCCTTTGTTTGAAAAAGACTGAGTTATTTTAGTAAATTTAAGTTTTGTACAAACTTCGTGTGTGCTGTGTTCTTTGGGGTCCGTAGCTGGGGCAGAACATACTGTAACATCCAGGGGTACTGCACTGGCGAAACCACACATCTGGCTGAGGAACTCTGGGAGTTGAAGTCCACACGTCTTAAAGTTGCCAAGGTTGGAGACCCCTGTTCTAGAGGGCATTGTTTCTTCAGCATTTTGAACAGATGTTGAATGAAACTGTCATGCTGGATGAGATATCCTTCAGCTCTGTAAGGTTGCAGCTCTTGTCCTGCCCCTCCAGCGATGCTGTGATGGATGGGAATGACACCCGTTGTGTTCTAAGAGATTTGCAAAGTAGTCATTTTGAGAAGCTTCCTTTAAATATGGTCCACATTTATCCCCAGTTGCACTTTTGCAACAACGTGAAATTGCTACTGACAAGAGAGTTTGTTTTTGCCTGAACTCGTCTTGAACTAAGGCACAGTTTGAAAATCAGTAATCTAGAAGCAAAGATTTCTTGCCAAGAACTACCTAATGTATTTCTGAACTGATTTATCTAAAGATTCTTTAAAGGATTTAACTAACCAACATCCAGAGTAATTGTGGTATCCTAGGCTCAGATGCAGTGTGTATAGACAAGGCGATGGTTTTCCCAGTTGCAATGGATGGCTATGAAAGTTGGACCATAAGGAAGGCTGAACGTCAAAGAATGGAGGCCTTTGAACTCTGGTGCTGGAGAAGACTCCTGCGAGTCCCTTGGACTGCAAGGTGATCAAACCAGTCGGTCCTAGAGGAGATCAACCTTGACAGCTCTTTAGAAGGCCAGGTCCTGAAGAGGAAACTCAAATCCTTTGACCACCTAACGAGAAGGAAGGACTCACTGGAGAAGAGCCTAATGCTGGGAACGATTGAGGGCAAAAGAAGGAGGGGACGACAGAGAACGAGGTGGCTGGATGGAGTCACTGAAGCAGTAGGCATGAACTTAAATGAACTCCAGAGGATGGTAGAGGACAGGAAGGCCTGGAGGAACATTGTCCATGGGGTCGTGATGGGTTGGACACGACTTCGCAATTAACAACAATGCTCAGATACAAGGAAAATGCCCTAAGATCTTGAATATATTTTTCTGCCTAGGATTTGACTGGCTTTATAACTTTGTAATCTCTCTTTGTTGGGGGTGGAAGTTTGATTCACTTAACATGAAACGTTTTCAGCCCTAAGGGGAACATTTTCAGATCTGACTTCTGCTACAAAGAACATGAAGTCGCCACGATGTTAAAAAGATGTGGGGTCTCTAGAAAGAGTGCAGAGAAGAGCAACAAAGATGATGAGGGGATTGGAGGCTAAAAGCATATGAAGAACAGTTGCAGGAACTGGGTATGTCTAGTTTAATGAAAAGAGGGAGTAGGGGAGACATGATAGCAGTCTTCCAATATCTCAGGGGCTGCCACAAAGAAGAGGGAGTCAAGCTATTCTCCAAAGCACCTGAGGGCAAGACAAGAAGCAATGGGTGGAAACTGATCAAAGAGAGAAGCAACTTAGAACTAAGGAGAAATTTCCTGACAGTGAGAACAATTAATCAGCGGAACAACTTGCCTCCAGAAATTGTGAATGCTCCAACACTGGAAGTTCTTAAGAAGATGTTGGATAACCACTTGTCTGAAGTGGTGTAGGGTTTCCTGCCTAAGCAGGGGGTTGGACTAGAAGACCTCCAGGGTCCTTCCAATTCTGTTATTCTATCTTCTAACTGTCTCCAAATCGCAATCTGCTAAAATTATTAATAGAAGGTGGTGGAAAGAAGAATGAAGATGAAAGTTGAGAACAAAGGACATTAACCGTCTCCAACTCTTTAATCTGAAATGAAACCTGAGGAATTTAAGCTGAAGTGCCTTCTTGATGCCAGTTTTGATGGCCAGAACTGAGCTAGCAAGTCTTCAAAAGAGTGATTTGCTGCATTCTGGGAGGTTTTTTTGCCCAATGTCTTGTCTTTTGCCCTCAAACTGCTGGATTCTTCAGAATGCATAGTGTCCAAGGCTGGAAATGGATCATCTTAGCATGAAATGAGAAGTCCTAGAATAAATATTCTAAGTATAAATATTCTGACATCGTTTTAGTCTGTGTATATCAAGGCAGGAAATGATACCTACACTGAAAATTAGCACTATCATATTGATTATATACTGTCTCATCTACTGTGCATGGTTGTCTTACGAAGGAAGAAAAATGATAGAGAAAAGGAAATATTTAATACCTCTATTTATTACCTCTTTATTACTGAATTAAAGTATTTATAACCCACTTTTCTACTTTACAGCAGCTCCTATTAGCTATCTTCGACATGTCATCTTTTGGACAGCTTCTTCACCATGAACCTTAGTCCTTACCATCCATCTTAGATATGTCATTTTTTAGACAGCTTCTTCATCATCAACTTTGCATCCTACCATCCATCTTGGATAAGTAGGAGAGTTTCTTCATCAACCTTACACCCTAGTATCAGATAAATCATCTTTTGGGCAGCTTCTTCATCATCAACCTTACTCCCTATTGTCCATCTTGGATAAGTCACCTTTTGGGCAGCTTCTTCATCATCAACCTTACTCCCTTTGTCATCTTCAGATAAGTCATCTTTTGGGCAGCTTCTTCAACATCAACCTTACTCGTTATTGTCATGTTAGATAAGTCATCTTTTGGGCAGCTTCTTCATCATGAACCTTACTCCCTATTGTCCATCTTAGATAAGTCACCTTTTGGGCAGCTTCTTCATCATCAACCTTACTCCCTATTGTCCATCTAATCATCTTTGGGCAGCTTCTTCATCATGAACCTTACCGTTATTGTCCATGTTAGATAAGTCATCTTTTGGGCAGCTTCTTCATCATGAACCTTATCCCTATTGTCCATCTGGATAAGTCATTCAGTCTTATCATGAACCTTACTCGTTATTGTCCATCTTAGATAAGTCATCTTTTGGGCAGCTTTCTTCATCATGAACCTTACTCCCTATTGTCCATCTTGGATAAGTCACCTTTTGGGCAGCTTCTTCATCATCAACCTTACTTGTTATTGTCCATGTTGGATAAGTCATCTTTTGAGCAGCTTCTTCAATATCAACCTTATACCCTATTGTCCATCTTGGATCAATCATCTTTGGGGCAGCTTCTTCAACATCAAATTAGTCCCTACTGTCCATCTTAGATAAGTCATCATTTGGGCAGCTTTGAGCTAGGCTAAGATCCGATATTGGGACAAAATTCAAATATTATAATTCCAAATCTTTGGTCAAGACAGAAGTGCCTCTTCCGTGCCAAGGTGCTAAGATGACAAAAGGTATTTGACGTAGGCACAGAATTGTAAAAGGGCAAACTGACCCTAAACAGATACATTCTGTTGTTTAATGTTTATTGCATCCCAAATGTCACGTGTATCCTTAGATGAGAAGTGTTGCCCCCTTTACTGCCCTTGAGGCGTCTCCAAGCCTCTTATCTCCTTTTTATTATGTCTTGAGCTCCGGAGCAGAGAACCTGAATCTGTGAGAACAGGATTGTTATTTCCTTTCCTAGAGATAGATGAAAGGGCAGCTTCTACGTGTGAAATGTATCACTCTCTGTAATAACTCTGCCTTTAAACTGTATAAATACATGGCCAAAAGAAGCCATCAATGTTCAGACTTTTTGCTTGTCTTTGGACTGTTTGAACCGTGCACAATAAACTCTTTCCTGCATTGAAGAGCTTAGCCTGGTTCCGTTTCTTTTCCTGCAACAGCTTCTTCATCATCAACCTTACTCCCTATTGTCCATCTTGGATAAGTCGCCTTTTGGCAAGCTTCTTCATCATCAACTATTTTTTGACTGGGGATCTGTTTTTCAACTTTTCAAGAATCCTAAGCTTGTTCTAAAAAAAAAAAAAGCACTGATCTTCTTTTTTTAAAGAAATCCATGGTCACAAAAGAATCAATATGCATTATACTGGAAAAAATGTTGTTATCAGCAGAGATTGACATACCCATTGCATAGGTTATAGGCTATTAATGTTGTCATGCAGAACATAAAATACGATGAAAAATCCTCTTTTGTTCCCTGCTCCCCCAGTGCATTCAAAGCTGGGGACCAAAAGTAAAATCTAATCTTGTGCATGCTTAGAAGGAGGAGGAGAAAGTTCTTTAGGGAGAGGGAAAAAAGCCAAACTTTAAAAGAAGGAAAATAAATAAAATAAAATAAATGAAATGAAAAACAAAGTTATTTCCAACGAAAGGGTTATAAGTGACCATTCCTGGGAACTTACTCAGAGTCTTTGTCCCATAACCGTCGTCCCCTAATCCGGGGAAGTCCTGCACGGCAGTCCCCGGAGAGAGCAATGAAAGGAAAAAACACCCGCAGAAAAGGAAGGAACAGGTCAGTGCAGTTGAAATGGATACTACCATGACAGACCATGCAGATAATCCAATCTGGATTCCCGCGTTTTGAGCAAAATAAGGCTTAATCCCCCAATTCAAAGACTTTCATGGAAGCCAAAGAGATGCGGTTAAAGTGAGAAAGCAAAAGACTCTCTTCGGGGGGGGGGGGAAATGCAGGTAGTTCGTTGACTTACAACTATTTGTTTAGGGACTGAAGTTACAACGGCACTGAAAAATGGGCAGGAGCTGGAGCTAGGAATGAGAACTCAGCCCATCACACAATGCCTGGGTCTCGAATCTGTGTTGTCATCTTTCCAGCTGACAAGCTCACGTCTTTAACGGTGGAGCCATCGTGCTCCCTAGATGCCCCTAAATGCCCAATCATCATCATAATCTTTTAACGACCCCATAATCCCTTGCGGGGTGGAGTCTCGGCAACTGAATGGAGCTGAGTGTTTACTGGCCGGATGCCTTTCCTGTTGCCAGTACGGAGTTTTGTTCAGCAGATATATTTCTCATTGTGCCCAGAGAGAGAAATATCTGCCTCTACCTAGGATCGAACTCACAGCCTCTTGATTGTGAGGCGAGAGCTCCACCTCTAGGCCACTGCACCACTCCCCCTAAATGCCCAATAATAGGTATTAAATCCAGTGGAGACTCATCATCTCTCTTTCTCTTTCTCTCTCTTTGTTGTACTGTATGGCTTAGAAATTGCTCGCATCTTGATTTTCCACTTTGGCTGCATTCTGTGAAGCGACAAAGTGGGAAAACTTCAATCAGATATTTGATTTTCACAGATAAGACATTTCCACCCTCTTCCCCCCTTTTTTCCTAAATAGCTGGGAACTAGTCCAAACCATCTCATTATCAAGAACCTTCCAGTTCAATGCACTGAACTGTGAAGCTAACGAGTCGAAGCTATAAATGTTTAAGTGTTGAACTCGCAGGCACAATTCACCAAGGAGTACAGGTAGTCCTCAACATATGACCAGAATTGAGAGCAGAATTTCCGCTGCTGAGCAAGGTAGTTGTTAAGTGAATCATGCCCAATTTTACAACCTTTTTTTTTTTTTTTGCCATGGTCGTGAAGCGAATAGCTGCAGTTGTGACTCATGTAGTTGTTAAGAGAACCTCGTTTCCCCAATGGACCTTTCTTGTTAGCAGATGGCTGGGAGGATTGCAATCATGTAACCCCAGGACACTGCAATGGTTAAAAATATATTCTGCTATGCATGGGGATGCTGCAATAGTCATAAGTGCGAGGACGGGTCATAACTCACCTTTTTCAGCACTATTTCCCCCCTTTTAACAACCCTGTAATCCCTAAATTTGGGGTGGAGTCGGGCAACTGAATGAAGCTGAGCCGGATGCCCTCCCTGACGCCTACACGGAGTTCACAGCAGATATTTTCTCTTTGCTCCCAGAGACAGAAAGAAATATCTGCCGCTACCTAGGATCGAACTCACAGCCTTCTGGTTGTGAGGCGAGAGCTCCACCTCTAGGCCACTGTGCAACTCACCTTTTTCTGTACCAATAGAGGAGAATATTTGTAGCTCAGGGTTGACATGAGGGGGTCCTTGGTGCCCTCTGAGCTTGGTTGTCTTCTTGCAGACATTTCATGACCCAAACTAGGTAACATCATCAGTTCTAGTGAAAACAACCAAAGTCAGAGAATACCAAGGACCAGTGGTGAAATCTTCCCCGGTTTGCCACCGATTCGCTGCCCACGCATGCATGGTGCACACCAAATGCATGCTGCACATGTGTGCATGCACAGTACGTGCCAAACATGTGCTTCGCGTGGAAAAAGGAGGCTTGGGAAGGTAAGTAGAACAGCGAGGGGGGGGGGGAAACAGCTGTGCTGCGTGATTTTGATTCACTAGAAAGCAAGATTTCCTGCTTCCTAAAGATTTTAAATTGCGCGGCACAGCTGATCGTTGGAAATACCGGTTCAGAGGAACTGGTAGCTTTTTTTTTTTTTTACTAGTTTTTATCACTACCGGTTTGCCCGAACCGGTCTGAACCGGTAGCATTTCGCCACTGTCAAGGACCTATTTCAGTGCCGTTGTAGCTTTGAAGTGGATAGTGATAAGTGGATAGTGATAAGTCGAGGATGACCTACATCACTAGCTAAGATGGAGACAGTTATGAAACCTCAGTCCCCAAAACAATATTTTTTAATAAAGACGTGGCTTTCTCCTTACTCAAAATTCGAGATGGACCGAGTGAAGGAACGGCGGCCAACCAATGGATGTTTTGACTTTTTCAAGCAGTAGCGATAGAAAATTTGGCTTCCCTCTCCTCCCGTAAACCCCAGAGGGAATCCAGAGTGTTATATACATTGATCATAGTAGTAAGGCCTCACCTGTCCTGAACCTGACTTAGGCTTGCCTAGTGTGTATGAGGTGCCGTGCATAGTCACCCACGTGTTTCGCTGCGACGTCGTCTCTAAAACATTTTACTTACGTTCCGGGTCGCTGGTGTCCTGCTCACACATCTCCTTGCTCTTGTAGAAGGGGAATTTTCGCGAAAAGATGAAGTTCTTTTTACGCTTGTCATTGAATGACTGTTGAAGGAAAAGAGGCATGGCCGAAAAAAAAAAAAACAAGGACGTCTAATTGTTGTCACACTCATGCTGACAAAACAACTAGGCTAGGTAAAAGTGGGAAACAACTGTGGTGACAGTGTCCAATTTCTTTCGCTGGCTTCAAGAACGAAGCATCGAAAAGGAAAACAAAGGAGGGAAAGAGTCAAAGGTGGTTGAGATCTTCAAAGGTTTTTAAGATCTCTGTACATCTGTGGAGACCTGTCTCCAAAGGTACTTTTTTCAAGAGGCCACTGGACTTTCTGGTTTTTCCCTCCCACCTCTCTCTTATTGGTTATGAGTTTGACGTCCCATCATCATGAGATGAATCTGGGGTCTTCTGCGTGTATAGTATATGCTACATCCCTAAACTCATGATGTGCGATTGTGCTGTAGAGATCAGTGGTATATTGCCCCTGGTTCGGACCGGTTCGCTAGAACCGGTAGTAAAACTGGTGGGAGGCTCCACCCACCGCCCTGGATGTCGTCATCAGTGATCTGCGCATGCGATCCCATTCCGAACCGGTAGTAAAGGTAAGTAGAACCCACCCCTGGTAGAGATAAAGATAAAGATAACATTTTCCCGCACATATGTGCTACTCATTCCCAACTCTAGGGGGCGGTGCTCATCTCCGGTTCAAAGCCGAAGAGCCAGTGCTGTCCGAAGACGTCTCCGTGGTCATGTGGCCAGCATGACTAAATGCCAAAGGAACACAGAACGCTATTACCTTCCCACCAAAGGTGGTCCCTATTTTTCTACTTGCATTTTTTAACATGCTTTCGAACTGCTAGGTTGGCAGAAATTGGGACAAGGAACGGGAGCTCACCCGTTATGCGGCACTAGGGATTCGAACCGCCAACCAGAAGAAGATGAGGAGATGGGCGATCCTTCAAATATGGACAAACTCTTATCATCCAGGACCATTAGCTAAGAATTCTGATTTAGGTACATCTGAAAGCTGCAGCTTTTTCTTTTCTTACGGCTGTATTTTACTGTTTGCTACGGTATATCTACTCGTACTTTATATTCGTGTGCTTTGATGTTTGCATACCTGTATTTAATTATTTTACTTTTGTAAAAAAAATTTCTACGACTTAGCAATAGCAATAGCATTTAGATTTATATACCGCTTAGAGAGCGCTGTAAAGCAGTTTACAGAGTCAGCCTCTTGCCCCCAACAATCTGGGTCTTCATTTTAGCAACCTCAGAAGGATGGAAGGCTGAGTCAACCTTGAGCCTGGTGAGATTTGAACTGCTGGCAGGCAGCAGAAGTAGCCTGCAGTACTGCACTCTAACCACTGCGCCATCGTGGCTCATTGAATCCTTGAATCTTGCAGGGAGCTACTGCAGAAATAACAGAAATCTATACACATTCATCGTGACACGTCCGTTTGCTTTCCTTTCTTTGTTCAGATCTATTAAATATTGGTTTTTTATCGTTTCACGATCCTAATAGATTTACAGGCTGCTTAAAAAACCTGCAGCATCCATTTCTGCTTCCAAAAATATGGGTAAAAACATCCTTATTTTGGTCACCAGAGTTTCATGCCACTTTTACTCTCCAAGGATATTTAAAATTTAGTAACAAAAGCAAACAAACAAACAAACAAACAAAGGGAGAAAAATTATAATAAAAACCTACAAACACCCCCATTTACGACTGTAAACACTTGGATTCAACACAATGGAACCATCATGCCAAAAAGTACACAATCATGCCAAGCACAATCCATGCAAACGAAAAATAAAGGCAGATGTCAAAAATTATAGGCATAAAAGGTTTCCAAATGTTGATTGGCGGGTGGTAATATTGACAGAATGGCCTATCGAAATCTAGAGAAATTAAAACATGCATCTGTGTCTGTCTCTCTCTAATTGTGATACCTTTCCCCAGAATTAAACAATGTCACCCGATAACAGAACTCTTTTTAGGACAACGATGCTTAAACCACAACTCATTGATTGCAGATTTCCACATTTTCAAAGAAAGCAGATCTAACATTGGCAGATTGAATCTCTTTTCTTTCTAGTCACTCCAAAGCTTTGTGATTGCTGTACAAGCAGACTGTCAATATCGAACTAGTAACCCAATTACCATTTTATATTGATATTTGTTGTAGCTTCCACTCTCCTCCTTCTTTTACTATTTACTAACTATTAACTATTTATTACGTCTGCACTACTATTAATCTTCTCATCGTTCCCATCACCCATCTCCTTCCACTTATGACTGTATGACTGTAACTTTGTTGCTTGGATCCTTACGATTTATATTGATATTGATTGTTTCCTGATTGATTACTTGTACCCTATGACTATCATTAAGTGTTGTACCTTATGATTCTTTTT